CCTACTGCCCACCCATTCGGTATCCCTTCGCGCGCGGACTGGGAGCAGCTGTGGAAGACTTGGGATTCTGTTACGCTAGGCATGATTCCTCGGGAGATGTTGCATGTTAAGCCCATCGACCTGCGCCATATCTGTTTGTTCTATCTGGGCCACATCCCTACGTGCGTATTTTCTTCAGCCTGGCTCTTTGTCGAGGTTAATTTTCTTCATCAGGTTCTTGGATATGGTGCTGAGCAAGGAGCTCGGTGAGGCGAATACTGAACCTAAATGGTTCACGGAGATCTTCGAGCGTGGTATTGACCCGCACGTCGACGAACCCGAGTACTGTCACGTATGTTCGGTTTTCACCTCACTCATGTCCCTCGCTAACATTGTTGCAGCGCCACTCCGTAGTCCCGACCAAAGACGAGGACTGGCCGACGCTTGAGGACATCATCGCCTTCCGCACTCGCGTCCGCGAGCGCACCTTCAAGCTATACGATGACCTCGAGAGCGGGAAGCGCACGATCTATCGCCGTCTTGGGCGTGTACTGATGTGCGCGTTTGAACACGAAGCATGGCACGTTGAGGTAAGTTACCTATCTGTTCATGCCGAGCGACCCCAGCTAACATCGTCATTGCAGACATTGCTTTACATGCTCATCCAGCGCTCGGGCACCGGCACCCTGACACCTCCGGGCTTCCCCGCGCCTCTCTTTCCCGAGCTCGTAAAACAATGGGCATTGACACCACCACCGACTGAGGCGACTGTTACCCTCGGTCCCGCAGATGTGACCCTCGGCTGGGACGACCAAGAGTCTGACGATCTCCTTCCCGAACTCAAGTACAAGACCACGAATCGCGGCTACGGCTGGGACAACGAGTCGCCCGAGCGCACCGTGCACGTCGGCGCATTCCGCGCATCCTGGCGCCCGATTAGCAACGGGGAGTACCTCGCATGGTGGCGTACCAAGTCGCTCCCTATCCCGGCGAGCTGGGTCGAGAAGGACGGCGAGATTATGGTGCGCACGGCGTTCGGGCCTGTGGGTATGGATGTTGCGGAGCAGTGGCCTGTTATGGCGGCGTACGATCATATGGAGATGTATGCGAAAGAGCTCGGCGGACGATTGCCGACTGAGGCGGAGTTGAGGTTGTTCCTCGATACGTACAACACTGGGTACGAGGAGGACGGGAACGTAGGGTTCCGCAATTGGCATCCTGTACCGTACGTTTCTTTCTCTCTTTCGTATCTTGGAGGGCATGGGGCTGACGACACGTTGGTAGTGCTACTGCTGGTGTCGATGGCAAGCGCGGCACCAACGGCGGTGTTTGGGAGTGGACGAGCACGAAGTTCGATACACATGACGACTTCGATCCAACCAGCATCTTCGTCGGTTACTCATCCGACTTCTTCGACAATGTTCACCAAGTCGTTGTAAGTGCTCTCCCCTTTAGCTTGTGTTGGCTTCGTGCTGACAGGGTATTCACACAGCTCGGCGGTTCGTATGCTACCATCCCGCGCCAGGCTGGAAGGCGTACTGCTCGCAACTTCTACCAGCACAATTACCCGTATGCGTGGGTTGGCGGGCGTGTTGTGTATGATGTCGAGGCGTAATGGATTGTTATCTTTGTACTTGTTATCGTGGGTACATCTGTATATACTAGGGGATATTAGTCTTCTTCAAAGTTGGATAGTGGAGGGGTCCTATCCGCGTCGCGCTCGTTATCCGCGCGCGCCTCGTTTTGGGCAGATCGGATCACAAAAGCCGGTGATCCCCGGGGAGCCCGAGACGATGGCTGGTCTCACTTGCACTTGCTCGATAGCGTCTACGATCCCCTTTTATTCTCATTTTGCCATTCAGCATAGTATTAATGATCCATAGGATTGTCAAGCTCGAGAGGCTGGGACAGGCTTGTGGTCACAGCTCGATCTGATTTACTAGGGATTTTCCTACTGCATTATAATTTACATCGAGAAACCCGATTGAATGCTATTGTACCATGCCACCTACCCTACTACAGTACTCTCTGATGTCCATGAGCCCGCAGTGAGTGTAGCAGCCGATGACAAACGTGCAAAATAGCCAGGGAGAGAGTTATGGACCATTGTGTCGGGCTCCCGGGGATCACCGGCTTTTGTGATCCGATCTGCCCAAAACGAGGCGCGCGCGGATAACGAGCGCGACGCGGATAGCGCTCGCTATCCGCGGATAGGACCCCTCCACTATCCAACTTTGAAGAAGACTATTGTAAAATACGATGCAAGTACGCGACTACGAGGAGTTCTGGTATTCGTCTTCGCCATACATGTATGAACTACACTCGCCGAACTGGGTCAAATCAGTTGGAAGGGTTTGTGCTACCATATGCATGCGTGTACATAGCATCGGTGCACAATTGGTGCAGCCCCACAAGCGCCTCTGACACCGTCGATCGCGAGCGCCTAACTGCCCGTCAACGGTCCCCGCGCATGTTATCCCGTCAAACCCTCTCTGATGCCTTCGATTCGCTGCGTACGAGGGCGATGGACCAGAACAACGTTGCTGCGTCGGGCGAGAGACCATCCGCCGCCATCGCGGTCAAGCGGAAATATCAGCCGTGGACCTGCGCTTGCGCTCGCGTGGACCCACGTGGCGTGCATCACTGGTGCGTGCACCTCCAGTGAAGGACCGTTGGCTGACGACCTCCACGTCCCGTCCTTGACGAGACCTTTGGTGTGTTCCGTTCTTATCCCCTTGTTCGACGCTGACCATCATGATCATGCTGCCGCGTCCTTGTACAGTCTGCGTCCCTCCCGCAGGCTAATTGCCCATATCGCTAGTTCGGCGCACTTCGACGTCGCTGACTGATAGCCAACTAAGCCGCTCAAGGTAACTTCGCTTCCGCGAACGCGATTCCATGGATGTTGCTGAACATGTCTCAACGTAGACGGCTTGCACTGTTCTACGCTATTTCTGCATAGCGAATAACCAAGACTCTTGTGAATAGTTCAGAGGTCGGTCAGTGACGCGTACGTCTTGCCGCGATTAGGCTGACTGGGCAGTATAGCCATATGGCCTACCCCGGTGACACTGAACCCGGTCTCGACAGCTCCGAGGCATACAAACGCAGTGTCATGCTCGTTATTTGGTACAAGGCGCGCACCGCGCCCTTGCGCGTCGTCAACCCCCTGCCCTCCTTCCCGTATCTCTCCCTGGCCCAATTCCCACATCTCGTCGCTGCCCTCAGCCTCAGCACGCAAAGTTTCGTGGACGCATACAACCCTCGCGCACGGCACTGGGAGCAGCACACCCTTAGCACTGTACGCGTCGTCGCTACCGAGCAACGAATTCTCTATCGCTTGCGGCAGAGTCTGCTGGAGGGTCTGGAAGAGGACGAGTGTCCCGGACTGGCGGAAGAACTCGAAGCTCAAGAACGCTTCCAAGCTTCTGGAAACGGCCATGCGCACGATTCTCAACACATGGGGTACCCCGGTGCGCACGGCATTAAGCGCCAGGCGGATGCTCCTCCCGACGAGGACAGGCCTTCGAAGTACTACGTGGCCGAGTCTGGCGCCTATCCCGCACCGCCCGCACCGCCCACTCCGGTCACGGCGCACAATCTTCATGATACGTACGGCATACCGACGCCATCGTTCACAACGCCTGGCAAGGATATCAGCGATGTAGAGAAGGTACAACAGGGCGCCTACGTGTACGATACGAGCTTGTACAGTGCCGTCGCACATTCGCCTCAACCGCCTACACCTTCGTCTGGGCATCACCAAGGGCATGGCACGCCTTCGCACACTCACCCTCAGTCATCACCGCAGATGCAGTCCATGCCGCAGCCGCCATCAACTCCCCTCCCGCGTGATGGGATGGACCACCCCGGGAACCCGCCCACTCCGGCGGCTAGCCCTCTCCATGTCCCGATACCATATCACCCGCACCCCCCGCTCAAGCGCTGGCCCAACGACTACACTGTCAACGAGATAGCGACCGGCTTTTCGAATATGGACGCTCTCATCGGAGCTCAACCAACACTCACTCAGAAGGTCGCGTTTGAACGCGTCTTTGGATGCCGGTAAGGCGACTCCAGACCATTTATCAGTACCCAACGTCTGATCATCCCCTGATAGCTACGTCAAGTCTACTGTGTGCCGGCACCGAGGAGTATGGCGACGTGCAGACGCAGCCGTCCGTAACGCATTCGTCGCAATGGGTCGTGCTGAGACGGCTGTTTGGGGCGAGTTCGTGCGGCGCGTCGAGGGCCGCGCGTCGGCGCTACCTGATCATGGCGCGAGCTTGAACAATATGACGAACCTACCTCCCGGAGATAACGGCAGTATCGTACCCGTTGTTTCATCGAGCACGACGTCTGTACCTGTCAGCGTCCAGGTCGAACATTCGCAGGACCCCATGGGTAGTATCGCGCACGAGCTCGCCGGCGTGGTGAGCGGCGCACATCACCGTGGGCTGCCAACAAACAGTGAGTTTTCTAATCTGCCGCCTTCTCTGCATCGCTAATCGTACCTTAGACGTCTACGAGACACGCCACGGAGGACCCAGTATCTCCAACGCTCTTGGCGGCGACTCGTAAAGCCCACTCTTTCTCCCTTTCTTGACTGACACCTGGTCTGGATAATACTGAACACTGCGTCGTATGCTGTATGCTATCTTGCTTTTTCAATCTGGGTATCGGTCTATTATGCTTTGTGTGTTGTATACTATTACTTATGCTGTTTTCTGTATTGGCTTGCGCGCTTGGCATGTACACCATACACGACTGCTTGGACTTCAGTCTCGGTTACTATAATCTTGTGTACAGGTGCTTTAGGTTTTATTTGCTCTGAATATAATATAGGTTCGTGCTTTGTGTACTGATTGGCGTCATGCGGGCCTCTGGATGTATACTGCGTATACTGATGAGGTTTTTTGACTGCACTCAATTAGTACGTGCTGCGACAGGAGTTGGGCAGCGTCGCTGCGTGAACAAGATATCCAAGATCCCTTGTCTCATTTTAGTAAATTGCTTCCAAGTCCCTGGTAGTATATCGGCTAGTACACCCGCCTGTCATACATGCGGAAATTATCCCTGTGCGCGGGAGAGCGGGGTTCGACTCCCCGCCAGGGAGTGAACGTCGTCGGACACCTTTTTAGTCCTCAGTGTGGGCATATACGGGGTCGACCTCGTCGAAACCAAGCCTTGTCGGGCCCCAGCTACTTTTAGCTTTACTCGGGAGCACATGATCATAATTGCATTCCGTTGCACGCATGAAAGAAGCGTGGCAACTAGCCGGTCACAGCCCTGCAAAGGGTAGACCTTCCGGCCTCTCGCCTCTCGCCCTCATACCCGTCCAACCTCAACTGTGGCAGCACCATCACCCGAGTAGCATTAGCCTGAGATGCCGCCTTGCAAACTTGGTCCCATGATGTTATACAGATGGAGAAGCATGAATGCACTTGGCGATAAGAGTGCATATTCTTAGCCTGTATCATGATTGAAGAGCTTGGGCGTCTCTTAGACTCCACTGGACTATATACATACATGAGAGCATCCGCTTCTCCGAAGTTACCGTCGAACCCGCGAGCGATGGATGCCGAGCGGCACTTCTCGTCATGCATGCAAGCGAGAATAGCAGCAGTAGCTACCATCTATGTAGTTCTACTCCGGTGCCACCGCCAAACCCGCGAGAGAGATGATGATATGCTGCGCGGTACTCTGACAGTATCCCCTTTCGAAGCGATATTAAAGTATCAGCTCGTATAAAAGGCTCCAGCCATGAATCGTAGCTTCAGTGGTCAAGCACTATTCGATATTCAATCCGCTGCATACTTATTTCACCTCGCCACTCAACTCACCATGAACTTCACTGCCATCGTGACGTTAATCGCCGCGGCTACCTTTGCGATGGCCCTGCCTCAGCCCGCTATTGAGGTCGACCGCCGCTGCGCAAAGTCGTCGGGAGCGTTCTGCCTGTGCGTATGCTGTTCTTCAGTGAGAGTGTCGCTCACATCGCGATCACTACAGGCCTCCCACTTTCCCCAGTGTGTAATCACATCGCACTGGCCGATGTTGATCGGCCCATGAACCGTGTGGGGTCTCCAACATTGCAAGGTAGCGACATCCTTTCCTCTGCTATGAAGGCTGCCAGGACTGAACACTCAATTTCTGTAGACGGACCTGGATTAGTCCAACATTGCAGCGTTTCGTGGAGCTCCATTAGTCGTTCATTGTATAACTATTTGTTCTCTGTACGTCGGAAGGATGCTGTAACTTGAGGAGATATCGGCGGACTCGTTGTATGGGTCGCGTGAACTGTTCAGAAGGAAGTTTAGATTCAGGAAAAGACGCAGCATATAAGAGCGACCGACCGCGAGAAGTAATTGCATGCAGCCATACAGCAGAGACGTCCAGAGTATCGTACATTGGGTTGTGATCAGCGCATGCCAGCGGTGAGTCCCATCGGCATGTCGCCAGTACAACCGTGGAAGATGTCGTTCAGATACGCTTCCGATGCTGCAAGCATGTAAGCTTATATGACGAACGGCATCAGTACATCGCCCTCCTGGCTGTCAGACCATTCCTATAGGTTGATGATCCCACGTCCGGTCGGTGCTCTTTGATAGAGGAAGTGTGAAGATAGTTATTACCTTGCTCTAACTTCGCTTGGATGAGAAGCGGACACACTGAATGCTGGATCAATAGACGTACCTGATACTCCGTCTCTGAGCGTATGTGCTTCAATCCCGCTCTGCCGATTGAGCATGATCTATCAGCGAACTGGCATATCCATGTCTATCAGACAGCCACATGTCTACCCGCACGGGACGCTGAGCGGCGCCACGGTGGGTATATATGTCTGAGGGTGGCGAGTCGCCATAGGGTCCAGCCATCCATCATATCCACCCTCTTTCCACCTGCTCTCTAACAGTTATGAGGCTCATCGTCACCCTGACGCTCGTCGCTACGGCACTCCTCGCCGCGGCATTGCCCAGCCCTGGTACTGATGAAGTCGACATGCCCTGCATTGGCCTCGACCGTGCGTGCACTAGTAACCAATCACTGCGATGTTGATCTTAACCTCTGTTCAGAGTGTGGTCCCTAACCGAGTTCAACCGGACCTTACGACACCAGGAGCACCGGCTGAATGGGCGACCATGAGACCGGGAGGGGACTGCAGAAAACGTAAGACTGCACTGTTGCCCTTTCTTCCGTAGCCGCTTCTCTATAACATAAACTGTTCAGGTAAACGAGTGTAAGTTCGGTGTTCTAACACCTGTTTGTTGATTGTAGACGGCCCAGTATATGATTGCTCGCCTCGAGATGGGCTTGGAACGATTGATGTCAGTGTTGTGATAATGGGATCTGCAAAGGAGCGCGAGAGATATGCCATGAGAAGCATGCGATATGCTGTCTGGAACGAGATTGCCAGTCATCGTAGTCAAGGCGAGAGATCGCGCTAAGCGATGCCACGCCGCGGCGCTCGCGGGGTTTGCCGATCTCGAGTCACAGCGTGACCGAATATCTCGGGTGCATAAAGCATCAGAGTACTGGCAATTGCTCAGGCCACTACCTAAATTGTAGCCACAGTCTGATGCACTTCATCAAGGAACGAGAAACTTTGAGCATCGGCTGGACCGTGGCTTTTGTAAAGGAATGGACTCAGAACCCCACGGACATCGCGTGTTTCTCGAGATTTCCGTAAGGCGCAGACATACGATTACCGGGTGTCGATAACGTCTATCATGGCCTATCGGCGCATATAATCGCAGTAATCATCAGTAAGCGGCTGTGGTGTTACGGTACATAAGTTAGTTAGCTGATGGGGGCTTAAGATGGGCGAAAAGGTCCACGAGCGGCTACACGGAGTATCGGTGTAGATGGCATTGGTCGATGTTCTTAGTCCCGAGTTACAGTACCACTGGTTACAAGACTCATCAGTACAGATAGTTATGATGTGTGATGTTAGAATATATAGAAGTGAGGCTCGTCATGGATGGCAGTAGATGATAGCCAAGTGCAGGCAGACACAGATCACACAAGATATTGCAAAACAAATAATCAATTTAAGCGCAGAATACATAACAACCCAAAAACGACTACACAGAGGAAGATGAGGAGGCCTGGTTTGCCTGCATCTGCGCAATCATACGCGAGGCGGCCGATGTGCCGGCCGAGCGCCGCGACGAGCGAGGGTGACTCTCAGGGTAAATGCGCCTATAGAAAGAGGTCAGCAGGTGATCGGGTGCAATGCCTAGACATGATACGTACTCGTTCCACCAAAGTAGAAGGCGATCCACCTGCTCCTTTGGCAGTTCTAAGAGAGTGTCGAGAATAGCATTGTAGAACTCCCGCAAGCACCACGTCTTGCCCTGAGGCTCCGCACCGCCCATCGAGAAAGTAAGTTGATCAGATAATACAAATCGCAACTGTCGGAATGATAAGAGGCGCCAACGTGACGTCAACGCAGGCAAAAGTACTCACCAAAACGACGATGTAAGTCACACCCTCGAGCGTACAGGTCGAGATGTTATGTAGCTGGCTGTTCCCCGGGCGGGTAGCGCGGCTCAGTCCCAGTGCAGTCGACGGCCCGAGGTGAATATGCTTATAGGCCTGTCGAGGAATTCAGTATCGAAGGTTCAAAAGTCGTATGTATGACAGATGTAAGACACACCGTGACAAGGAGCTCGCCCTGAAGAAAGTGAACGAACATATCCTCGGGGTTGTACTTACCCTCGGGCCACAGGAAAGCAGGGAAGTCGTCAGCGTAGACCGTGATCAGGCCCGTACGGAGCTTCTCCCTAATTGGACGTGAGCGCATAACGAGTCAGATAGCAATGGCGGGTACGCACGCATTCGTCTCCCAATCGAGCAATACAGGGCATAAGAGGCCGCCACAGACAGGATGTTCGAATCCGGCGCGGTGACGTCCCGTCTTCGGGTACGGGATGTCCTCCCAATAGCCAGGCCAGTCGCCAATCGCATTCTTGAGTCCGTTGACATCGTCACCGCGGGCATCCTTGCGGCCTTGATCAAGCTAGATATAGAACCGGGTCAGAACAGGACACGAGAGATAATGTCAGAAACGGACCGCGTCAGCAACTGCCTCGAGGAACTCAGGCGTGAGCCCGACCTCTTCCTCGACTGCCTCAATGAAGGCGACGACAAAGGGTGTGATCTCGCCGATCAAACGGAAGACACGAAGGTCCTCGTTTTCGCTTACGAAGTGGTAAGTAAACTGAATGCGTGTTAAAGGAAGCATTGACTCACGCAAACGTGCGCAAGGTGGCGTTTGTCGACTGAGCAGACTCCGAGAAGCCCATCTTGAGCGGCCCGAGGAAGCTGGTAGACATGGAGACAAGCCGTCCGAGCATCTTACCCTTTTTGCGCAGGGTAGTCTCACGGCCTCGTAGGATGTCATCCTCGTCGTCGAGCGGAATAGGGTCGTTGTCGTCACCGTCACTGTTGCCCTCTTCGTCGTCCGAGCCGTCCGGACTGGGATCGCCACCGGGAGCGCCAGGAGCAGCACGTGAGCTATGTTTCAATGAATACATATATGTTACAGTTGACGGCATGTAGACGTACCGCGCTGGGCCCTCCGAGTCCAACTCGTCATCGTCGGGACGAGAGCGCTTCTCTCCGACTGATGGGCCAGGAGTACTGCTGCCATTCGCTTGGGATCCGGAAGGCGGCAAGGCAGGCTTCGAAGACATAAGCTTGAGTCGATATACGGCGCGTATGGAACACACCTGAAGCGTCTGACGACGAGGCAGTGGCGTTAAACGCTGAGAAGCCGATACAGAGCCGGGCATCTGAGGCGGCACTCCGCCACGGCGATTCCGGACATTGTTGAGTTTAGGCGGGATGGCGCGAGGTTTGACCATGGCGTGCGAATACAAGTGACAGAAAAAGGAGACGAAAGGCGAAAGGCTACAAAGATAGACTGAAGGGCACCCGGTGGGCGGATAGAAAGGAAAGGACGAAAGGATATATAGAAGAAGAAAAAGGGAGAAGGGGGAAGGGGGAAGGGGGAAGGGAGAAAGGGAATGCAGTCGAAGCAGCGATGTACACCCTGCCTTTATAGTTTACGCAACTGTGCTGTGCGATGAGGTGAGGGTCTGTCATATGTGG